CCTCAGACTGAGGAAGTCTCTCGGATGAGAGACGAAACGTTTCTACATTTTTTTGTTGTTTTGCTTTGTTTTGTTTTGTTTTTTTGAATGTCCAGAGTACCAGATTTAACTTTTTTACATTTTTCTACCTGGATTATTGAGCATGCATCAGGATAAAAATGAGAACATTACATAAGACATAAGACCTGTGTACACCCACAAATAAAGTAAAATTAAAAACATATCATAAACATGTGTACACCCATACAATAGAAAACAATAAAAAAAGCTTAGAAAACAGTAATTACAAGTAGCAGTAACAGTAATAACAGTAATTTAAAGCAAAAGTGTTTAAACTCAATATTAATTATGGCTTTTATTAAATATTTTTAATCAAAATAAGTTGCAAAGGCAGAAGCCTCAACACAACAAGAAGTCCCAACAAACCATTTTCTTGCCATTTTGTTTCAGACTAAATTTATTAACCATTCATTAACATTTATTTATGGTTTTATCTTTTGTCACGTCTAGACTGGACTATTGCAATGGTTTATTATCTGGGTATCCAAATACGTCTTTAAAACGTCTTCAGTTGAGCCTAAATGCTGCTGCCAGAGTCTTAACTGGAGTAAGTGGGAGAGATCATGTCTCTCCAGTTTTAGTTTCTCTCAACTGGCTCCCTGTCAAAACAAAAATAGAATTCAAAATCTTACTTCTAACCTACAAAGCTCTCAACAACCTGGCTCCATCTTATATTACGGATCTTATTGTTCCATATTTTCCTAACAGAGTACTTTGATCTCAGACTGCAGGTTTACTTGTGGTTCCTAGAGTTTCCAAAAACAGAATGGGAGGCAGAGCTTTCAATTATCAGGCTCCTCTCTTGTGGAACCAACTTCCAAGCTCTGTCTGTGGGGCTGACACATTATCCAGTTTTAAAACTAGGCTTAAGACTTTCCTTTTTGCTAAATCCTATAGTTAGGGTTGGCTTGGGTTTCCTGAGCTGTCCCTTAGTTATGCTGCTATAGACTTAGACAGCTGGGGGACAAAATGACCACACTTTTCACTCTGCTACTGTCTTTATTTACTCTGCTCAACCTGTTTTGCATTTGTAATTATTTTTTCTATCATTAACATGCTTTTTTTTGTCTTTCAGATAGACCTGGACCTATACCTGGACCTACCATTCTATGTTCGTCTGTCTCTCCTTCCTGTCCTCTCAACCAGACGGTCAAAGCAGATGGCCGCTTGTCCTGAGCCTGGTTCTGCTGGAGGTTTCTTCCTTTTAAAAGATAGTTTTTTTCTTTCCACTGTTGCCACTGTGCTTGCTCAGGATGCAAGACTGCGACAAAGTGAAGATTCAACAAGTATGCCGACTTCTTTAGATGAAGAACTTTACTACTTGGCTTTTTATGTATGTGAATGTTTTTGTTCAGAGCCCTGAGATGACTTCTGTTGTGACTTAGCACTATATAACTAAACTGAATTCGACTGAAGCTTCAGAACGAAATTACAAAATGTGTTTTTAAATATATTTCCCCAGTCACCATTTTCAATGGTTGCAAAAAGACAGTTTTTAAAGAAAAAGTAAAATCTTGTTCTTTTTTTCCCCCCTAACTTCAGACTACGAGACTTTACCGTCAGATAAGACTGTGAAATTCTGAAAGATAAAATTCAGGTGCCTTGTCCAGGTCACATGTCGGCCACTGACCAATCAAAGATGGTCATGGTTGATGATGTCACAGGAACAGAAATGAATAGAAGCAATGCCCTACGTTACATAAAACATTCAACCCTTGAGCCTGAAAACCAGAGTCAATTAGGAACTTAGAAGGAGGAAGTAAAATTACCCTTTCTGGAGGTCGGAGGTCAGGGGTCAAACTCTGGTTGGCCAGACTCATACACTCCTCCAAAGTCCTGATGAATGTCTCACAGGTGGCACTGAGCAGCGAGGCCTGAAGTCAACATTAACTTCCATGAGTTAATGAGCTAATTACAAAATATACACCTATTAATGAATTTTACCCACCAACAAAAGGCGGGTGAACATGTTTTACTCATGTCTGTGTGCATGTATGGGGGGAGTGGTGGCACAGAGGTTCTGGTGGGCCTGTGATCGGAAAGTCACCGGTTTGACTTGCCGAACCGACAACATCAAAATGCGCGTGGGAAAGGTGAAACACCCACACCTGCCTCCACCTTCATTTGCCCCACTCTGGGCTTGAGCAAGGCCCTTAACCCCCACCATCCACTCCCCTGGGCACCCTAGAGAGCAGCTCTCTGCTCCACACAGAAGGCTGTGGTAGCTCGGTGGTCTGTGGTTGCGTCAGGAAGGACATCCATCGTAAAAAAAATTGCCAAGTCTTCCGTGTTCTTTGTTAAAATCAGGTCTCTCTTATAAATGAGTCCTCGAGGCTCAAAGACTAACTTGTATAAATAAAAGTTTGAATGAATGAAAAAAAAAATGTCAGAAAAAGTCTTGCCAACAACTATATCTGAAGATCAGACTGGATTACTCATTCTTTAACATTCAGCATCTTTGAATGGTTTTAATACACACACTCCAATGGTAAACAATCTGGGATATTTTCTCTTAATGCAGAGAAAGTCTTTGACCAGGGGGACTGGAACCAACTAGGGATGAACGATATTATCGGCATGGTATCGGACGATACAGCGTTAAAGTGAAATATCAGACATCGGTCGTTCCATCAAAATAACTCATCAATTTAAAATACGCTGTTTTTGTATGACAACCCAGTAACAAGGATGCCTGCAGCACCAGCACAATGTGATGACGTCATGCATGCCTCCCTGATCTGATCCCGGCAGAGGGGAAGAAGTCAAAATATCGGCGGTGTGGAAGTTTATTTTTTGTTAAGGATGTCGGATTCTGAAGATTTTTGGACTAAGTTGAGCCTCGCTGCATCGTCCCCAGTTGGAGATATTTTTCCAACGTAGCCTTACCCGAGTTACAAGCCGTCACTTCTGAAGTCATTGAGAAGCTAATAGCTGATAGCACTTGGGTGAGTTTGACCACAGACATTTGGACGTCGTGTTAGCCCCGTTAGCATGATTAGTCTTACGGCACAATGGATAGACAAAAACTTTGAACTTTGAAGTCTGTCCTTCATGCACAGGAGTGCAGAGGATCCCACACTGCAGCTAGGAACCTGGAACAAGCCTCCACAAGTGAGACAGCATCGCAGCTGACTAATGCTAATAAATAACAATTAACACTTTCCATTTAATACAAGTTAAAGCGCTATGCATATCATATGGCTGTTACTGAATATATGTCACCAGCTCTTACACATTTTTTGTAGCAAACAAGCCTAAATAAAAGGGCTGAGTTTGGAAAAAGGAAAGTATAAAAATATTGGTATCGGTTATCGGCCAAATAAGTTTTAACTTATCGGCCAAAAATCTAATATCGTGCATCCCCAGAAAGAACCGTCTTCTGTGTTTGAGGCCAGTGGAGATTCAACACAATCTGCTGGTGTCCTTAGATATATATAACTTTTATTAATAGTTTTTTTAATGAATGTGAATATATCTGTTCAGTGCCCTGAAATGATTTTTCTGTTGGGACTTGGCGCTATAAAAATAAAATTAATAGAAGCTTGGTTTCAGATTAAATGTCATCTCATGGATTAACTATATTCAGGTCCTTCTGCCTTTGTCTCCAACAACAATCAAAACCTTTCCATCTTGAGTGAGGCTAAACAGGGATGTCCCCTCGGCCCTCTGCCATTAGATCTGACTACTGAACACATGGCGACCCACAGTAGCAATATCTGTCATTGTGTTTATGTGATCATTCAATAAAAGTTTTCTCGAGTAGCATGTTTCAAACACTGTCAAGTGTTAAATTGCTGTGTGGCTCAGCCCTATTGTTTACACACAAACTACAGCTCTAACATCAGTGGTTGTGTTCAGAAATATTTTGGAGAGAGATTTATTATGCAGAAGGATGACATATTTGCATCTGCAGTCCTTCCTCACACTCAGGTGTGTCTATTAGCATACCTTGTTATTATTTTATGCAATGCCTGACTGCAAGTACATAATTATGAAGTGCGCTGCATTAAAGTAGAGTTCAAAATGCAAAAATATTGCAGTGTTCCCTAATCTCTAAAGCTTACCATTTAGCAAGTGGAATGTAGTGAGAACGAGAACGTTACACTCAAACTAATAAAATCTGATGTTGCCTAACTGATGATGGGGTTAAAATGGTTCCCTCACCTCAGAAGTGGGTGTGGTCTCTGTTGCCACAGAGTGCTGTGCTTGGATGGTTTGGACCTGCTGGACCAGGAGGTCACAGTACAGACGCAGTTCAGACATCTTTGTCTTGAGACATTCTGGACCTGACAGCACAAGCACACAAAAAATACAAATCGATCATGAAGGTTCATACTTTACATCAAACTTTTAAAAGGTCACGTTTTTGTTTAAAAAAATATATAAAAAGAGTAAAAACAAATAATTTCATCATCAATTAAGAGTAAAATCATTTACAAAACGTCTGATTATTTAATGTAGTTTTTCATGTAGATAAATCCTCCTGACTGCTGTGAGTAAAACCAAAATGAACCAAAGCGTGAAACTTGCTCAAATGTGGCTGAAACCAAAATATTTTCCACTCCAAGCCAGACACGTTTCATCTTCAGACCTCTGTGTTTGTGGCTTTCCAGGGCTCCAGCTTTAGATGATCCCAAAGCCACCAGCCACCTCTGTCTCTCTGCAGCGTTCACAGCTCGCACGTAGAAATGCTGCTCGCCAGGAATGATCAGCTCCAGACGCGTCGAGTCCGTCGGGTGAACTGAAACATAAAGCAGCGCGTGACAGATGTGTTTACCTTTACCACCCCATCACTAAGAACAGCTGAGGTGTACAACCTTTAATGTCACACACGGACATCTTGATGGATCCTTTGCTGCCTTTGCCAACGTCGTCCTCGCTGTCGTAGTACGAGATGACTCCATTCTCGAGGACAAACCAGCGAGGCTGCCAACCTGGGGGCAGGAAGCAGACGCGTTCATCAGAATACCAAAATAAAACAAGATGGCAAAGGGAAATCAAATCAGTCCCACTAAAATCTACCTCCAGATGGAACAGTGAGCTTTGAATAATATTCATGTGAATGTCGAGTCAGCACTGTTTATACTTGTTGTTTTCTAATCAAACTACATCCACATGTATTTTTATTGTTTTTATATCAAAATTCTACTAGATAAGGATTAATGTTATGACGTTTAGTCTTTGTAACTTTTATACTTTTCAAAATGCCCATCTTCATTTAAAACAAATTTCCCCATAGATAAAACATTGTTCTTATTAGATCTATTTTTCAAATGGATGCCAAAGAGTTTGTCCATATTATTGCTGCTGCCTCTCTGCTCCCCTCGGAGGATTACCTGTTGGGGGCGTGGGGGCGGAGTCTGGTTTGTGTGTGTCCCAACAACCCTCCTGGCTAATAATCAAGTTCAGACAGAGGAGGAAGCTTTGTCCTTCCTGAAATGAGTTTCTTTAATTTCACTTGTGTGAAATAAGACAGATGCACAGGTAAAGTCCTCTATTTCATAACTAAAACACCAACTGCCAGAGAGTGTGTGTGTGCACGTGTGTATTTATGCATGGACAAAGGGAATTTGTGCACAGACTCAGCAGGTAATTGTTGTCACAGCATGTTGGCTTCACAGTGTGGCAAGCTTTTAAAAGTTGGAAGAGCAGGTTGGAGAAGTGTCTCCAGTTTGATGCTGGGTCCTATTCCTGCAGGTGAGGGGAGGAGTTCATCATGCCGGTCCTAAAACACGTACGCTTTCATCATTTTACACCTTTCCAACAATTAGATCTACGCAAGGTGTAGCCATGTTAAAGTAAATGCATGGAAGAATACTGAGTAAATAAAAACATTTAGCTCAATCTATGCCACACACAATGTGCAGGGGAAGACGCTTTCAGCTACTACCGCATCAAATCTTAGCTCAATATTTGTTAAACTGCTTTAAAAGTTTTAAACATTTCAGTGTTTGATACAATGGGCTGGCTGGGGTGGTCATCTTGAACTGGTTTGACTCCAGCAGTAAATTTGTTTTGGATGTGATTAAAGCTGGTGTGGTGGTAGCCGAGAGTCATCAAAAACACAAATCTGAGCGCTGACTGGTTGTTTAAAACTTTGGCACAAGAGGCAGCCAGCGACATGCAATTCCTTCAAGGAGTGCAGCTTTCATTTATAATCAAATCTGTGATTTTAGAGACCATCCTTCATCTGGGGGGTTCTGGGAATCACTGGAGTTGTTTTAAATGTTTCATTTCTCCATCAACAAACAGCCCAGGTGCGTTTGTTTCCTGTTTATTTGTATCCAACTCAATTACTGATTTTATTTTAACAAATGTCCTAAATTTTGTTCAAATCACTTTTAAAACACCTTAAAATCTATTTATGGCCTTTTTTTATGAAGTGTAAGTTTTCTGAATCATTCTGGGAATATGCTACATAAATACAGGTAAAATGTTTACTACTAATAGTGTTTATACTTTAACACTCAGTTGATGTTTTTATTATTTTATATTGCTTTGACTATAGTAAAAATAAGAGTTTTAGTTAAAAGGAAGTTTACTCATTTGTAAGGTGCAAATTTTTTATGTTTAAAGTGTTTGTGTTTAATCATTTAGACATGAATGTGTTTGTAATAAAACCCTGAACCCATGCGTCTCCTCTGACAGGATGTTCTGTTTCTTCAAGACATTTTTAATCCTGTTTGTTTGGTATAAACAACTAAAGGACGGCTAGCTTTAGCCGCCAACATTTCAAATTAACTCCCTGACGACTAGTTACACAAACATTTAATAAGTAAATCAAAAGTCCAACAGAGTTCTCGCCTACCTGTCATGTAATTAGTCCACTTGTGCAAAATCCCCTCCATAATTTGTTGAATGCTCGGCTAATGTTGTAGCTAGCCTGTTAGCTGTTCGCTGACGGTCACCGTCTCAAAGACGGAACAACGTCAGAAAATGTCGGTCATAAGTAACTTCTGCTCGTCTCAACACATACAAATCTGTTTCTGAGCAATAAATGATGCCGTTAGCGGGAATAAATCCAGCAGCGGTGCTCTGTTGGTGCTGAAACTCAGCTGAAACAAATGTCAACAAACTGCAGCGCAGCTACGGAACCCTGCAGGGGACATTTCACAAGCAGGACAATTATGTGATGGTCCTGGAGATGGAAGCGATTTGTGAAGTTATGAGCCTCAAAATTTAAATGATCCTACCTTTAATCGAGTAACTGTCTTATTTTGAAAAAACAAAATAATACAAATATTAAAAATCTAATAATCTAGATTAGCAGTTCAAGTATTTTTAAGAGACAAATATTCTCAGTTTTGTTCTTTAGTTTTCAAAGCTATGAGCTGCAATTAGATTATTTTACAATTTTGCAGATTATAAACATTACCTCAATCTAAATTAAAATAACTGCCAGATCCAATGTATAGATTTATAAATATTTACATTTAGTCACACATACATCAGTTATCAAGTTTAATGAGTCACAGTCTTAAAAGTTATGGAAACTTTAATTCGAGTATTTTCAGGTCTGGATGAGAGTGAGTGAGTGAGTGAGTGAGTTAAATAAGTGAATGAATGAATGAATGAATGAATGAATGAATGAATGAATGAAGGAAGGAAGGAAGGAAGGAAGGAAGGAAGGAATCAGTCAGTCAGTCAGTCAGTCAGTCAGTCAGACAAACAAAAAGCCAGGAATATTTTTTTGTTCTCTATTGAATTATCTAAAATACTTTAGAATCTTTATTTTTAGAAAATGCTCAACCAAGAAGAGTATTCTTGACATTTAATGTAAATAACTTGTTGGAAATTTATCAGAAAACCCTAAAGTTTAAATATATAATGTTTAGTCAGGGTGTTC